CACTGAAGACTGGAGTAATGATGCTGACAATTCAGCTTTGCATCACAGGAATAAATTACATTTTAAATGGATTAAAAAAAAGAAAATTGTTAATTGAAATTGTTTTAATATTTTACTATATTACTGTTTTTACTGTATTTTTGATCAAATAAATGAAGCCTTGATGAGAATAAGATACTTCATATTGATAAATTTATCTACTCTTTGGACTGGCACATGCTAACAAGTTTTAATAAATAAATAAATGTTTAAAAATTTTAAATGACTGTTAACTTGAGTAACAATTTGTATTGATTTTAATTATCTACCATAATATCTGTACATATACAAACCTTAATATGGAAGGCTATGTAAAAAAGAAAATTCACAGATGAATCATGTGTCCAATATGGACATATATGCATGCATGGCATCAAAAGGCTATTTGTGGAAGGGCTCCCTCTGTGTCAATGGCCATTAGACAGTCCGTTTCCAGTTCCATTAGAGTAGGTGTGTGTGTAGTCTTCCTCAGAACCCTCCTCATCCTCCTCTTCATCGCTGCGCTCATCGCCCTTCAGCTAAAGAGAATGAAAGAGAATTAATCTTGTGCATTTAATCTGCTTGTGTGAACGTTTTTACATACAAACACATTTACTTTTTAATAAACTGATTTTTTTTTTTTTTTGCTGTTTAATACGTGAAGAAAAGTCCAACCACTCATTAACTGTAGTAAAATCACTAAAATGCACATACTGCTTTATTTGTTATCTTATATGAAGAACAATGGATACTCACTTTGCCGAAAATAAACTTTTTGACCATGCGGAGAATCAAAGAAGCCCAGAACACGTGCAATAACAGCAGCACCACGAGCATGACGTTAAAGAAATAATAGCCGAAAAAGGGTTCGAACTGGTCCAGAGGATACACCCACGTACAGTGGATCAGCCTGTACACACGACACACACACACACAATTTAACAAATGTAACCCTAAAATCTCCCACTCATTTACCTCTGTCACATAACTTACCAGAAAGGAAAAATGATGAGTCTGGTTACCATGAAGACCAGAGCGAACACCACAAAGATACTGTTGCAGGTCGTCTCCCATCCAGCATAGTTAAACATCTTAGCAGTCTTAGAAAAACAGAAAAATGACAGCCTTTAACACAAAACATATATACCCCTGTACATATAAGTTTGGGTTGGTAAGAGTTTTTAACAGTTTGAATGAAATCTTGTGCTCAGCAAAATACAGTAAAAACACAAATATTGCAAAATGTAATTGCAATTTAAAATAACTGTTTTCTATTTGAATATATTTTAAATATAATTTATTCCTGTGATACAAAGCTGAATTTTCAGCATCATTAAAAATCATTCTTCAAAAATCATTCTATATATCTATCTAATATATATCTACTACTAGAAAAAAAAAATCTCCTATAAACACAATAACCTCCTTTAGTGTTCCACAGAAGAAAGTAAGTCGTACAGGTTTGTGACAATGTGAAGGTAAGTAACTGAATGATGACAGAATTTTCATTTTTGGGTGAACTATCCTTCCTTTAAAACATGTTGAACTCTTCTTTCACTGTTCATCTCTCTCTCACCTCGAGTAGGACATCGGATGTGTCATGCACCAGCATAACCAGTGTGCCAATGCGGATGTAGTTGGCACACCAGGAGAAGGACAGCAGTGTTAGTGTGGCCCAGTGATGGACCAACTGCTCTTTAAAGTCCTACAAATTGACACAGAGAGAAACAGAGCTCCACAAACCTAGACAGACATATCTCTCAAGATATGGCAACTTCATATTCATATCAATTTTTTTCAGTTATTTACAAATTTCATAAAATGTATCCAAAAGCATATTATTTGAATGAATGTAAAACAACCATTCATTGAACTTTATGCATTGAACTGCATGAATTTTTGCTTGCTGATTGTTTTATGACATTATTAGCAGTGCTACCTGCAGGCTAGTTGAATACAGTGCAACCGTTCACACCAAGCACAATAACTATAAAGATAACGATAAAGATATAGTTCTAAAAATCGTTCTCAATATTAAAGAATAGCAGAGTGCTTGGTGTGACTTTAATAATTTTATCTAATAGTCATACATATTTTTTATGATTGTTAATAATAATAGTGCATGCTTACCTTACGTTTTACATCTGCAGCCACACTGAACAGTAAAGAACCATAAAAACTCATCTCAATGATGTAATACAAACCAACCGCCATACAAACACATGCTTGCACAAAGAACAACATGCAAATATTAAGACTGTTTTCACTGTATTACGTACAGTATATTCGTTTTTGCTTTAAAAAAAACTCGAAGGTAATGTTTTTTCTTTTTCTAACTTTCTTTTTTTTTTTCTTATGTTACAGTTAACTTACTTGTTTGGGAAATCCTGCCCACACTTCCCTTAGATCATAAAACCATGGTTTCTGTGGCACAAAACAACACAATTCACCGTTTACTGATTTATTTTTAAAACCAAATAACACAAATAAAATAAACACTAAAGTATTGCAGTCTGTGTTGAGGAGTTTACAGATTCTTTCTCCAAGTTGCATCGTTACGCCAGTAGGTGGCGTCAAGTGAGTGAATATTTGAATAATTCGAATCAACAGATTCACTTCAGAATGAAACTACGATGCGTACTCGGAGATACTCGACGATTGATTAAAACAGTTCACCGGTGAAGCAAAAATATTCAGACTTAACTGTCAATATTGTGTCTAAAATGTAAGTTACTCATCATTACCTTCTTGTTTATTGAACTGTTGTTTAAAAGCAATATCGTAGTCTACTCAGAGACCGTTGGTCTGAATATCTCCACAGCTGTGATAACCTGCACGTTTGCTCTTGTGAAATAGTTTAATTATAAGTTCTTCAAAACAACAAATTGATTTATGTGTTATTAAAAACCCAATTCAAAAGAGCCCACCCCATAGGCTAATTCTCTACGTACCTAAACCCTTGATGTGGTGATATGGGATTACATGCCTAAATTGAATACGTTAGTATAGTAATAGTGATGCTTGTCTTAACAACAAGTTAATGTGTGTGTGTGCAGGGCCTGTCCATGCCTGTTATTGTGCCCGTTTGTGGATCTTTCTACCAGGCTGGCGCTGTTCTCAGGTGGGAAAATGTTACTAATTACCCCTTTAAGCATTTCTCACAAACACACATACTGATTCAAGGTCTCTCCTGAGAATCTCTGCATGTGCTGTAACACACACACACACACACACACACACACACAGGCACGCAGCTGTTTGGAGGTCATTCGGATGTTCAGATACAGCCTGAGGTTTGTATATACATAAAAAAATCACTTACATCATGTAAAGCCAGCACTCCTCCGAAAGACGAACACAGATAAAAGGCAAACCGCCAACTACAGCGAGGAAATACTATTGTTAATAACAAACATACACGTTTGAAAACGGTTAAAAGGTCAAATATAGCCAAATACAAATGAGTCAATCAAGAAAGTTTGTTTAGTGTGTGTAAATATACCTGGCTTCTTTGAATTTCTTCAGTAGTCCGGGTCTGTCTTGGTTCCTCCGTCTGCGGAACCAGCGCTCCACCTGCCTTTCCGACCAGCCCAACTTCTTACACACACCTTTTATATCTGCCTAAGTACATGACATACACAAACATTACTAGACACATAAACATCATATGTCAAAATGTGCTGGCCCTACATATACTGGTGAATAGGACATATTTTTCTATTAATTGTTGAAGCCTGCTTATATAACGCATTACAAAGGTACACTGTAAAAAATATTTTTTGAAATTGTAAATAAAACAAAAATTATTAGAGCATGTTTTTACAACAAAATATGTTTTCAGTCTTTCAAAATTTCATGTTTAATTCTGTGTGTTGTTTGCCATTCTTTGTTAATATTTGTGTTATATCAATCAATTTCTCAGTGAGAATTGTTTCAAAGCCAATTTTTTCAGTGTTTGTAATACCTTATACATATTGTGAGACATTATATATTTTCATAAATAACTGAACTACTATTATAATAATACATTATAGTATGTGCCTACACTCAACTTAAATCAAACTTTATTTATAAAACACTTTATTTATAATACACATGGTTCCAAAATAATCTAATCCATTTTGAAACATAATATTTGGTTTTAATAACATGTTTTAATCACTGATCTATATAAATGACTATTTTTGAGGGTATTTTCACAAAAACATGGCATATATTACTTGCTAATTATTCTTAATTGTGATTAAGAGCATCAATCGTTCAGAAATGTTGTATTATTATTATTCATTAAAATAAGCCTAAATGGACGTTAACGAAGATTAATATTTTGGGGAAAACAATACATAATGTAAAAAAATCTTAAAGGTCTTTACATTTTTATTTATATATTTTTTTTACTTTTTTCTTTTTTACCACCTATTTTTCTTCTGATTAAATGCATTATATGAATGCATTAAAATGCATGTTTCGGGGGTTACCTGTGTTGGATGTTTAGAGTGTGTATTGTAGTATTTTTCCAGTACGGGGTTGTGTGACGCTCTCTTGTGAATTTTGTCTTTAACCCCAAGAGCCTCAGCGAGTGGCACCGCGATCAACCTGTTGAATGAGGGAGAGGCAGCGAGACAGAGTCACACCTTGATCTGCTGTTAACCAGAGACGTTCACTGCACTTCAGCAATTATAAGAACATATAATACATGGTGTTTTCACCAGACTTATTAATTATCTTAAGCAGTAAAGCTTCCTTGACCAACTGGCTTTACCAGCTCAGTTTTCCTGATGAACAGCATGAATATACAATTCCACCAGCACTATTCAGCAAAAACCAGCATGTAAATTAATGCTGATGTAAGCTCGTCTTTTCAATAACATTTAGCTTGTGTGTGTACCTTTCATAGAAAGCTCTTAAGCCTAGCAGCAGGACTGCTACAGGTAGAATGATGTACAAATGGGACACACGGGCATAGACACGCCCCTCACTGTCCTGTAGGTCCGCCCATGTCACCGGCCTCGGCAACCACAGCCGATCCCACCAAAACCACTCACTAAGCATCGCCCTGTGAAAAACACACAAACACAGCAACAGCATTTACATGCATTCATTTAGCAGATGCTTTTATCCAAAGTACCTACAGTAAAAAAAAATAGAATATTGAAGAAGAAACAATGGAAAGCCATGCTTGTGAGTAACAGAGTTGTGTGCCATTCAAATCTAACAGAGAATGCATTTCATGTTTCTCAATTTGAATTGGAAACATGATGCAGAATTGGAATTCAAATCTGTAATTTAAATGTATGGAAGCAGAGAATGTGAATTGAATGAATTGACATGCAAATAAACTCATGTAACTAAATTTGAACTAGAAAAGCAAAGTTTGTCAAGACAGACTTTGAAAAGGCTTCACAGTCATGAAATTTATAGGCCTTACAGATGGACAAACAGATAGACAGATAGATAGATAGATAGATGGATGATAGATAGATAGATGGATGGATGGACGGACAGACAGAATAGAATATTTGGCATTTTTCCAGGCTATTGTAGTGTTATGCAGTAGCTCCTGTAATAGGATACGTACCTGAGCACAATACACAATAGAGACAAATGAACACAGACACCTGCAAAACTTAATGGAAATTTCTGTTTACTAGTTTCTGTACCACTTCAGGACCATAAATTTAGTCCTTCAAAATCCAGAGGATTTTTTTGCAGTGAACACTTGTTTAACAGTGTCAGAAACATTAGCGGCAGACTTTATTAATGAAAGATAATTGACATGCAAATACTGAAATCTACAATAGCATGCAGGAACTGATTGTGGAAAGAGAGTTCAAAACATGTTTGATCAGCTCTAAGCAGAGCCAGTTATGAGTCTCACTGGGAGTATCCGACGGCAGTACGGATCTGGACTTTATATAAAGTCCTTCAGACCCACTTTTAACAATAGTATCTAATCAATCTTGTATTACACATAAGACAAAAGCAAAACACTGATTCAAGTAGTATTTTGTTAGAGCGAAAGCAGAGGAGCTCAAGTTACTGCATGCATTCTTATAGTAAGTAGTGACTGTTTATTGTTACCATGACAAACAGACATATAACGTCCCAAAGACTGACTGAGAAACACGTCAAACAGAAACAAATGCATCCATACCAGATTTGTCCTTTTCTTGTTTGTACACACTCTTTTCTCTCCTCCTGTTTTCCTGCTTTCTCTGTTGTAATTCTGTTCACACACACCTTTAAGTAGATCCTCCAGAGTTGTGCCCAGTCCTGATGAATCTGCTAGGTAGTGAACTTTCGCTCTCTCTCTCTCTCTCTCTCACACACACACACACACACTTTCACTGCATACCTCAACACCCCACAAAGAGCTCATTGAACCGGCTGTGTGTGTGCTTTGAAAGGGGGCCAGAGAACTGGATATGTGGGAGGGGCCACAGTCTCCTCAGGTATAGTCAAAGAAAGGCAGAGTTAGAAGGAGAGAGAGGACATGAACCTTGAAATATTGCATGCCCTAAACAGGTTAATAACTCACAGGTTGAATAAGAGAAATGTTCTTTCTCTTTGTTGTGACATTCTTACTTGGCAGTGTTTTAGTTCTTATTTACATTTATGCACCTGGCTGATATGCTTTCATTCTAAAGGGCTTACAGTGCGGTCAAGCTTTACGTTTTGTTTTTGTTTCGTTTTTTTAATCAGTGTGTGCATTCCCTGAGAACCAAACCTGCGACCTTGGTGTTGTTCGGGTCATGCTCTACCAGCTGAATTACAGGAACACTGCTACTGGTTCTTGGTAACTTGTGAGTGATTTGGTATGAAAGCATCTACTTTAGCCAAAATCTTACAGGAATGTGTATAGGATTCCTGCTGGATCATAATTTGGAACCAACTGAAAATGATACTGCTGATTTTTTTTTTTTACAGGACTTCAACAAAACACAAACCAGAACCTGTATCTTTTAGAACACATACTGTAGTTTGGGTTTTTATTCTTAGCAGTCAGATAAAATGCCCATGTAAGACATTAAAAGTAATTGAAAGAAAAATTTTTTTAAACTCCTAGAGCGCGCCCCCTGTGGGATTCTTAACTGTACATTACCAAGACATAGTTCTTGTGATGCCCCAGTCAAAATGTTTAAAGAATTTCTTTGGATCATAATTTGGAACCAATTTAAATAGATTCCAGTGGAACTTAACCAAACGGAAAATCCTAGAGTATCCTTGACCTCCTACTGAATATTGTGTAATCTTTATCAGAACATGTCGTACTACTGGATAGATAAAGGACAAAGGAAAAAAGGGAGATAACGATAAGGAAATCCTACTACTCTTTAAATTCCTTTTAATATACCACACATACATATTATTATAATGATAATCAATCATAATAGTGCTGTTAGTAACTAGATCTATTTTTTAATTTCAATTGGTTTATGTTAAAGTTGGTTCCAAAATTAGGATCCAGTAGGAATCCATTTTTATAGGATTTTGACAACAGTTATTAATGCTTTTTATATTTATATTTAGACACTTTAAAAATGAGAACATTTCAGATTGTGAAATTTGATTCTTGAGAAAAGTCCTATTGGATCCTTAGGACTGGTTCCTTTTGACATTTCCGTAAGATTTTCACTAGGGAAAAGTCCTGCATATGGTAATGCAGGACTGAGAAATCTTTACTTTATGTAATATTGTGAAGGTGCGAATTACTGGCTCCACCTGTACTTACTATGCATGACTTGATTCTGACAGTCCTTTGTCTTACTGGTGTCCCAGCCCTCAGTGTCTCTTGGTGTAGGTTTGCTGTCTCCATCTTGTGGTGGTCGAAAATACAGCATTTAGAGAGTCAGTATACGAGAAGGGTGTTCCTGCACAACCGGAGGCTGGAGTTTCAGAACCGCAGTTCTAGGACCATATTCTTTTGTAACAGCGCCACCTACCGAATTGGATAATATAGCGGAGGCTGCAGTTTCAGGACCGCATTTCTAGGACCCTGGTGGTTTAGTTTGTAGTAATGTTTGTACATGTTGTTAAAGATATTGAATCTCTGGAACATTTTTGTTTATTTCAATTGTGATTTTTGATTTATAAATGCATCAGATGTTAATTACAAAGTGTGTAATACCTGCTTTGAGTTAACAATTTTAAATTTAAATGAATTTACACTTAAAATATAAATGAAAAATGTATTTCAGTCTTTAAACAACTGAAAAAGCGGAGTACCTTAAGTCTTAGTTTCTTCAAATATACTGTATATTGATTAGCCCCCTTAAGTTTAACTAGCTCATTGTGCAGGAACATACTATTGGCAGTATACAGCAGAGGGTCAAAGATGCATGATGCAAAAAGCCCCTGGTGGTAGTTGCTGTAACTACAACATTATGAGGGATAAAAGCACATTTTCCATTGACAGACATTCAAAAATAGCAGTGCATTCTGACAAACCATGCTATAGCAAACAAACAAATAAATAAATAAAATAAAACAAACTTCTTTCCACTTTTTTATTATAAACAGTAATCATATTTTTTCATTATAATATCAAAATATTGTCAGTTTCTCAAGACCTCTAGAAATAACATGGACGTGAATGTTCTACTTGACTGCTGTTTGTAACTGTTCTTAGCTAATTGATTCCTGTTAGCACAATGCATATCATACACACCTGCCATGCCACATAGACCTGAATACACAGAGGCCAGGCCCACATTGCAGCTAAATACAGCTGTCAACTCCAGTTGTTTTAATAGTTCACCCCAATATTTGAGTTTGTTTGTCACACAAGCTGTTGTATGGCTTCAGAATATAGCATACGAGTCGTCTAGTCTGCTTTTATGGTGCTTTTTGTCTTTTATAGAATTTGTAAAGTATAAATAGTCATTCACTTTATTACATCAAAGAGAGACGCCTGGACACTCAACATCATTTCTTATTTTGTGTTCCAGGGATGAAAGAAACTAATATTGGCTTGAGCGACATCACGTTGAGTAAATGATGGCATTATTTTCATTTTGGGTGAACTAATCCCTTAATCCTGTTCTGTACACACAGAGTTTGTTTATTAGTGACAACTAATGATGCATTAAAAATGGCCAGACACGAATACATCTCAGTACGCTAATATTAGTTTGCGGAAAAATAGAAAACACCAAACAGGCTAAACTGCTGACATGTATCTTTACAGCTGTGAGACATTAACTATTGCTTGTTTGGAGTGGTAGGATTGACACTTGTATTCCGTACACAAATGGAGCGATAACTTAGCTATTCATTCCTTCAAATAAATGCATTTGTCACTTCAAAAACTTGGCAGTGTGAACGTGGCCTGTATGCATTCATACCTTTTGTCCCCCGTTAGTGAGGAACAACTTTAAAAGTGACGATTGGGTCTAAATCCCTGAAAACCTCTTCACATTGAATATAGCATGCTTTACATTAGCTTTAGCTGTGCTAGCATAGTGCTAAATGGGATTATGTAAAATACTACAGTGTATTTGCAATGTACAACATAATTGGCTTTGAATCCATTTCAACATTACATTTCTTTATCATGTCATGAGCGTGCTGCCAAGCTACGTGCTAACTTACCATATGGATGAGACACTACAGATGTTGCCACCAAAGACAAATAGACAATTCCACAAACAAGTTGGCTCATTCTGAAGCTGACGTATTGTGTTAATAAGTTCACATTTAGTTATTATTCTGGTTAAGTACATGTTAGCAAAACTCATGAAAGAACACACCACGAAATGAAAGTTCCACTTGCTGAGTAACAAATCGTATGGACTGCAAAGCCCTTTGGCCCATATTCCTAAGCCTCTCTCTCTTCTCACCTGTTCTGGTTCAAGAGGTCAGGTTAATGAGATTTGGTGTGTGTATATCTGCGTATGTCTGTACAGGAGTTTATATGTGAAAGAGAGAATGGCAAGTCACAGTATAAGACAATGTTTAAGAGTCATCGAGCCATGTCAAATGGCTCCAGAAGAATACCCAGAATGCACAAGTCTGCACTCGGTCCTCCAATAAAGTTGGTGATTCTGTGCAAAAGAAGTCCCCCTAGTTAACCAACCAAGTGAACCTCCACCAAGCCATCAACAGTTGATCTACATCCAGAGTTACTGAAGATGCTTGTTCAGTCGCCATTGAGAAGTCAAAGATGAGTTGTTGATGGCATGGGTTGCCTGGCACTGAGAATGGTGATCAGATGCAAGGTGCTGAAAAGGTGGAGTGTTGTTCCACTTCATCTTGTCCCACTCATACGGCAGTGTTACGTTTGAGATCACTGGGTGAGGGGGGGATCTGTTGACTGAGGTGTGTGAAGGTGGTGGAGTGACTAGGTCTGGTCTTTGTCTCCTCAGAAGTCTCTGCGCCTCTATACTTCGGAGGAAGAGTCTGGCATCGGCCCTTAACTTTCGAGCCTGGATCAGGAGGTGGAAGCCCTTTCGTTGCGCTTCCCATCAGCTCTGGTTTGGAGGGAGGCCGTGGTAGTCCTGTTGACTGGCTGCCCACAAGCTCTGGTTTCGAAGGAGGACGTGGCAAGACTGTTGAAAGGCTGCTAGCAAGCTCTGGTCTGGATGGCGAGCGAGGGAGCGCGATGGAATGGCTGCTCGTGAGCTCTGAATCCAGTGAATCTGAGACAGACATTTGGCTTTCAGAGGGCTTGGTTTTAGATGGTCCTCTAGAGACCATTCGGGTGAGCTCACTAGAGGATGGAGGAACTTTCTGGTCGAGATGTGTGAATGTTGTCGAGTGGCTAGGTCTGGTTACATGCGCTTCAGCTTCAGGTCCTCTGTGCCTTGGCGGAAGAGTTCGGCAACGGCTCTTAGCTCTGGAACTTGGGTCTCGAGGTGGAGGTTCATTAGAGTCGAACTCTCGGTGCCGTGATAGTGAGCCGGTTTTGATTGAATGAACAGACTGGTTTGAACATGCTAAAGGTGTGCTGGATGATTCATCATGACAGGCTATCTTAGACAGGGACTCTGAAGTTGTATTGAGACTTTCACAGGTCGAAGGTTGAGGCCTATCAGGCAGATCACTGGTGGATGCAATGGGTTCCTCTGCTGATTGCTCCTCAAGCTCTTCCTCCTCTCCGTTGGTCACCCGTAGTTCTTTCAGCTCTTCATCTGACTGGCTTAGCAATACCCCACTGCAGACAGGCAGCTCCTCCGATGATCCTTCCTCTAGACACTTGATGACTACATCATTGTTAGTAGTTGTCAATGGGTGTGACTGGGTGCATTGCTTGTCTGCCTCCTCGGTGAGCAGAAGATCCATCATGAGTGCTTTCTCTCTCTTCAACTGCTCCTTCAGAGAACGAGGCACATCTGGGATCAACCATGCCACCAGCATACTGAGGAACATGGCCAAGTTCTACAACACAACAACATACAGAATCAAACATCCAGTCCTATTTTATAGGAATATTCTGGGTTAAATACAACTTAAGATTCAAGTAATTTGGATTTGTTTCTCAGTTTGCAAGAACATAAGAAAACCCTTGTACAATAATGCACTTTTATAGTGGAAGTTTGTAAGCAGTGTTAATCTTGTCAATGAAATGTTTGCTGACCAAGGTTTTTTTATTTTTTTTCCATCAACAATATCAAAGTAAAACATGAATTAAAACATGTTTTTTTTTTGCAGGTTTTATGCTGATAAATCTAATGTTGAACATGGGAATTAATAAATGTTTATATATTTTTCAAATATTTGGTCTATTGTAGTTTGACACATTTTTGTTATTTTGCATATTATTGTCAAATAATGCCATTAACAAAAAATATGTGCCTTTTTAATAAAATAAAAATAAGAAGATGGATTAAAATGTATGCATATTAAATGACGAAATATTGATTTAAT